AAAATGAAGTCCCCGGAAAAAGGTTCACTTGGCAAACTCAAAATTCTCCCATAAACTGCTATTCTGTGCCCCTAAACACACATGGATTGATTGCCAACATCATTCAGAAAATCTTCAATACTTTGCAGAAATTCATTCTCAAAACAACATAGGATTAATAAAAATGCAATGACAAACCAAAAGAGAGAAATGTAGGTAGGTACCTTTGAGGAGAAATTTGTTGGGGTCCTCAACCTCAAGAGAAGGCAATGCATTGTGATTTTTGCATGCTAGAAAAGGCTACCCTTTGTCTCCTACAAAGAAGGGCTTCTCTCCTTGATTTCTATCCCAAATCAACCTCTATTTTAGGCAGGAATCAGTTACATTTTTCTTTTCTTTTCTTTTTTTGTGGCCTTTCTAATTTTCTTACTCACCAATACCATATAAGGGGGTGTGACAGCAATTCTCAGTTCCACCTGATTCAGATTCTTCAGATTTAGAGGAATTAAGGAACGAAAAAGAAAAATAAATATACATATATAGTCAGGATCTTAACGTAACTCCTAATTTTAAAGAACACATTTCATAAATAACAAACTTGTTAAAATATTTCAAAAATCATCTGGTAAATAAACTTATTAAATAATATAATATGCATTAATTATTTCCACCCATGCCACCTCACCCACCCTATTCTATTACCCCACTACACCACCTTCCCTTCACCTCTTCACTCAAGATGGCCATCAGCTGCAATGATCGCTCCGACAGCCGCTCCCACAGTCGCTTCGACGGCCGCTCCAGCAACTCTTCTGGCGTCACTCCGATACCCTACTCCAGTGGCTGTTCAACAATTCCTCCAGCAAATTTGTGACACCCCAAACTTAAATTTCGAGTGTCACGTACTAAATATAATAGCTTCTGCTTTTGGTACATGTAAATACTCTTAAATAAAAGTATTACATGTTAGAAACTTATTTTCAACTTGGTAAAATGTCTCTCATAAATTTTAATGGCCCGCAGAAGCGCATGTCGACAAGAAATTATACTTTACATATACGGACTCTGCACTGCCACGGTTAGTTGGGGCAGCAAGTTCGACTATTTTTATAAAATTCATCCCAACTACGTTTTCTATAAAATTTACGACATTAGAAAGATATTTTCAAGTAGTTTTCTAGGTTAAAATATAAAAATTTCCAAGATCATATTATATGGGCGTTTTATTGAAAACAGTGAGGTATTGCACAGAAATTTCAGATTTGACCCTTCAACGTTTAAAATTCATATCTCAAGCTACAGATATCCAAATTAAGTGATTCTTGTGCCCATATTAAGACAACTCAATGATGAACGTAGTAATATATTTTAGCGTCTCAAATGGACGTTTATGGAGCCAAAAATAATGTGTTGAAGTTGACCCAAAAACTGTTCCGTTTCTGCCTTTTTATCATTTGCAAGGGAAAGTAAAAACAAAAAAACGTCTCTTAACATAATATGATAGATATAATCACATAATTTACTTTCAGTATCATATTACATCATATCTTATACATGTTTTTATCTAATAACAAAAGCAAAACATATGGAAAGCAGTCAAACAAAACATACAAAACAGAAACTTCGATGTAAAATAATTTTGTCCTTGATCCATCATCGATTTTGCCGACTGACTTCCACCAACTCCACAATTATGAATCTGAGAATTTAGTATAGAACACTATGAGTATAAAGAATACTCAGTAAGATACCATGCTTGGATTTGATCATGTTAATACTACACAAAAGAATACAATCAAACACATACTTGCACATTCTGGCTTGTCGGTACCCTTCGGACTTGTCTTAAGGTATAAATAGATATCTAATTTTGTGGACTTATCCACCACATTCATATTATGATCTTTCATGCATAGTTTAAGCATAAATATTACCATGAAATCATACCACTTAAGCATAGAAAGTATCTTACAATAAAATTTGAAGAAATCTTGGTTGAAAATAAATTGAAAAATGCTAGGCTGGTCCTCTTCTTCCCCTCATGTTTTCTGCCTTTTTTTAAACAAGTGATAAGTTGTTTTTCATGCAAGGGAAATAAAGGGCAGCAACATATTTATTTATAAGTGAGAAAAATGATTAATTTTGGATGACTCTTCAAGAAATTCAACATGCGTAGGCTGCATGGTTTCATTTTCTTAAATCCAAATCACCTCATGCATTATGCTTAAATTTAAAACACCTCATGCATATATGTTTCATCAATTTTCGGCCAAGTTGGAGAAACGATATTTAATTTTAGTAATTAGGTGTAAAATGGACATTTATCCCAAACCCCTAATTAACAAATTATTTGGAAAAACTTTTAATAAATTAACCAATGCAAAATTTGGCAACCATAAATAATTTTTTTTTTTTGGCCATACTAAATTTTGAAAAGTTAAATTGCTATTCTAAAAATTAAATAAGCACAAAATTCGGAGTATTACAAAATTGCTCCAATGACCACTCCGGCGCATATGACCAACTTTGTCTTCAATATGACTAATTGGGGCCAAATTTTTATTTAATGTAACTGTCTGTGATCATATCAATTTCAAGTCACAACCGATCACAATCAACACAAAATTAATCACAAACAGTCACAACAGACACATATTTGATCGCATATGTTCGCTACAAATAAATCAACACACACCACAGACCTGTGATTAACTGTGACTAATTTTATCTTCAATGTGACTAACTGTGACCAAAATTGTATTCAGTGTGACTGTTTGTGACTAGGTCAATCTCAAGTCTTGTCCGGTCATAGAACCATCATAGCCAACCACAGAACAATCATTGCCTACACCACCACTAACAAACTAAATATGCACCACCTTACCACGACCACCAACAACAAAATCAGCACAGATCAAAATCATCGACACTACAAAATACCCAAAACTCAGGTTAAAAAAAAGAACTGATAAAAGACCACCCATCATTAAAAATTTGATAAAGCTATGCCGATTCCATCTCATTCATCGCCAAAAACAATTTTCTCTCCCCCACTACCCGTGAGCTCATCTCCACCACCCAATCACTCACAGCCACCACCACTCTAGGGATATGGCAATTTGAACCGTTAAAATCGAAAATCGTGATTAACCGAATTGAATGGGGCGAAAAAAATCGAATCAATGGTGCAATGAGGCGGATATGGTATTTGATTTTAAAGAATCGATTCGTGGCGATGCGAGTATGGTATTAGTGATGACAAGGTTTAGTGAGGAGAAAGTTGACGAAGAAGTACATTTTTCTTATTTAAATTTTAGTTAAAACCATTCTGGATTAGGTAGTATCGTTGTATTCTCTACTTACATTTCTTATTTACTATATAGAAATCAATTTCGAGTGCTAACCTGTGCTAGTAAGAGTTGTGGGGAAAAATAAAGATTGAATATGAGTTAAGGTTGAAACTTTTGAATTATTGAGCATGAATCAAGTAACTATAATGCACAATAATCAAGCATGAAGGAAAATTTTAGTATTGTTATATTCATAATATTGTTTGTTAAATTTGTATTTTACAATTGGAATTTGGGATAATGTTTGCATTTTCGTTTGAAATATTGTGTTTTTATTTTCATTAAATCTCTTTTCATAAATTGTTTTATATCAATTTGACGGATGGACGTATAAAAAATAATTTAATTTTGTGGTTATTAATCGAAACGAATCGAGTCGAACTGAGATACAACGGAATCAATTTACGTGGTTATGGTGCGGTTATGGTATGACAAAAAATTTAATAGTTCGGTGATGGTTTTGGCCAACCAAACCGTTGCTATTCCTACACCACCCATGAGCTTACCATCGCTTTTAATATCATTAGCAGTCGGTAATACTTCATTTCGCCAGAAAGGGAGATGGTTGGGTGGGTGGTAGTAGAGAGAGAGAGAGAGAGAGAGAGAGGTGGGAAAATATTTTAGGACTTGGATTTGGGAAAGAAATGGGGGTGGAATGGGTAGTAGGTTGGTAGGTTTAATTAAATTTTCATTAATTATAATTATTAAATCTAATTAACACCTAATTTGTGAAATGAAATTTAATCATTCTTATTTTTAAAAACTAATCTTTAAATGTAGGTTTCTATATAGTGAACCTATATATTTTTACTGAAGTTTCATTGAAAGTTGAGTACTGCAATAAATACATAAAACAAAAAATATGCATTCGCCCTATATATATTTTTAGACAATTTGAAGTGAATGACTTTTATGGAATTGGTAAACTTTTACAACTTTTATATATTTTAATTGATAAAAGTTCTATCATAGATTTATAGATTTTTATTTTATAAAAAGTATTATACTTTTATAAACATTTATTTTAGAAAAAAAAATTACTTATATAAAACTATATGCCTATAAATTTATTCTACATATTCGTATTATTGAATAATTTATTTCTGTAATACAATGTAATGTTGTAGGCCAAATGAACCAGAATACAAAATAACAAAATTATATATATATATATATATATATAGGAAAATAAATTTTTGAATACTATATTAATGAGAAGTGTGTAGTTAAAAAATAAGAAAAAGAATTTTAATTTAAGTGTAATATTATTTTATTAAAGAATATGTTGTTAAAATTATCTCAAAACAGTATAGAAAAATTTATTGTTTCCAATAAATAAGGATCAAATGAGAATATAATATTATTTTATTAAAAAATATTGTTAAAAAAATTAAAACACTATTAAAAAATTCATTTCTCGAAAAAAAAAATTTAATTTGGGGCTCAAACAATTATATGAATCGTTTAACGGTAATTGGTTTTCATATTATAATTATTATTAACATTTAGCTGAGATTTTCATATTTAAAATAACAAAATTAGATATAATAGAATTGATAAATTTTCATTCTGCTATATTTTGAATATGAGATATTTCATTTGACTAGAAAGGTAGTTAACAAAAATAATGAGGAATACGCTCCACCAACCTACCTGGCAATTCTGATAAACTAAAACAAACAAAAGGTTGCTGACATCAGCACGTGCGTCCCAATTCACAGATTTAGTCGAAACGACAGAGTTTTACTGCTTTGATTGGATAGAACACAGACGTCACAAGCTATCTACAACCGGTAATACAATATATACACGACAGTTTTTTCCTCTATGTCCCAATTCCATTCCAATGCAAATGAACCGACTTGAACCCGCTCACAACTGTCATTTGAAATGAATAAAGCAACGGCTACAGCACATGCAAAACCATAAGAGGGAGGGAATAACCACTTTTTGAACATATATTACAGTAACCCCAACACAAGTTTCTACAAAATATTCTCACTTGACGGTCCATATTCAAGTTTCCAACATTTTCTCCAGAATAAACAACCTACATACCACAATCCCAATTGCTAATGGTGCTTTGATGACTTACTATGATGAGCGTCAACATCCTCCTCCTCCTCATCACCATCACCATCACCATCACCATCTTCGTCGTCTCTCTTCCTCTTGTGAGCAGCAGCGGGTGGCAGTTCTTGGACTTCGCCGTCTTCATCTTCGTCTTCCTCTAATTCAGGCTCTTCACCTTCATTTACAGGGTCCAAATCTCCACCTCCAGCATCTGCTTCTACCTGCCCAACTGGTTGAACAAGATATCCCGTGCCATTATTGTCTTCCTGTCGTTAATTTAAAACTCAAATTAAATTTCCATAAACCAGAAGGGCAAAAAAATAGAAATAAAGAGGATTTTGTTTTACTTTTGGTAGCAGGACAGATCGTACAAAAAGTTCTAAGCAAAAACAAATTGATTTGGAGTTTACTGAAATTTCAAGGAAAAACAGTAGCAACCATTCCACGAACAACCTGATAATTTATGAAAATTCAGATACAAACAAAATGACTGTAAAGTTTGGTTTCTCAACACCTTCAAAACCAGGAAATCGTAGCAAGAGATGATAGTCACATTGCAGCAGATGAGTAGTGAGAGAACACTGGGAAAGCTAAACCAACCCATCCAAGCATAAAAGAAAAGAAAAAAGGAAAAGGAAAAGGTAAAAATACAAAATATTGCACCACATAAAACGTGAACAAAAACTGGGGGGTAAACAGAACATGTATAAAGAGAAGGGAAGAAACCTACGACAGACAAGGCTCAGATATATCCAGGAAAGTAGAATTCACAACCAAAATCTTAGGGAGCATGCAAAATGTTATGTAGAACTGCTAACAACTGCAGTGCAAGATAAAGCAATGATCTCTGACAAACCAATGACACTCCCAAAATAGATTTTCTCTCCTCTTTTCTTTTTGCAAATGAAAATCAGCCAAGATAAGCATTTTTAGGGCCTACTTATCCCAAGACTCCAAAAGAGAATATATTCTGATATAGTTAGCAGAACCATGTTGCTACATGTTAAACTAAATAAGCCACAAAATGCAAGAAAATATGGCTCAAAAAGATCCAGTACGCGCACACCAAACTCAATATTTATGACAAACATTTGATGTCAACAGCAGCACAAGACTTCCAATTTTTCCCCCTTGTTTTCCTGGTCATTCTGTACTCCAAAATTTTTACATAGTTCAAGGATTCACAGATGAGCAGCTTCAGTGCTGGAAACGTTAGATTCCCAAAACACACTCAAAAGCTTGAAACAATCAAGAAACAAGCCAATCCTGTTAAAACAATGAAAAACTAGCACACCAATAAGAAAAACATGTTTAGATGATACAATTTTTCTCTGAATTTTATGGGCATACAAAGTTTTATAAAGAATTTATATCGCAGAAACTCTCTTCATCTTCTTTCTCCAATCTTAAAAGATGGATGCTCAAATCTTTCTATAAATATGTAGCAAATTGTGGAAACTTAAGCCTTTTTTGGCATATCAAAAGCATCTGAAACTTGTAGCTGGACATAATCACAACAAGTCCCTATCTTTCAGAAATCCTCATGAAATGAAAATCTAAATTTACACTTCTTTACACTACAATAGATTGATTCTAAAAGTCACATAATAGTACTAGTCCAGATGCATAAAAGAATAATACACAAAGTAGAAAAAGTCACAATCCTCAAAAGTGCTAGTGTCACATTTCAACTACTGAACTTCTTTATATTCTGCAAAAACAACTTTTACACCATTAGAAATCAAGGTGCATAATGTAAAAACATAAGAATGAAAGCAAAGAAGCTTATCCAACAGTTTACACCACAACATGCAGAGGAACAGCACAAACAAACTAATATGAACCACAAAGTTTGAAGCATCAAGAAGCTCACATATCCAAGCATACCAAAAGAACTATTGTGTGCACACAGATATCAAAACAATAAATTCCCAAATATTGATGCATGATATATATCATCAAGAAAAAACATCTACAGATTCATGAAAATCGCCCCCATGCTAGTAAACAATGTAAAGCACTTTGATTGACAATGAAAGGGATCACCTCATCTTCAGCTTCTTCATCATCCTCAAAGTCTCCATCCTCCTCAACACCCTCCTCGTCTTCCTCCCCTGTCTCACCATTATCATCCTCATCCACATCATCCTCCCCCTGTTCATGCCCATCAATCTCTCCTTCGGTGCTTGTGAACTTCCGTGTACTCGCAGGCTCCCCCAAATCTCCCTCATCATTATCCACCTCTTCATCATCATCCTCCTCATCATCATCCACACCATCATCGTCATCACTATCATCTATCTCATGAACCTCCACCACATCTTCATCATCATCACCCTCATCCTCGTATACCTCCTCAACTGAATCCTCATCATCCTCTGCATTCACAGCCTCCACCCGAAACCCATTGGATTGATGATGAGAACTGCCACCACTGTTCATCCCATTTACCCCTCTAGAAGTCTCTGCTTCCTCCTCATCTGCATCACTCTCCTCATCCTCATCAACATCCACAACCCCTTCACTACCTGCTCGATTCCCATTGTTTAACCTCAATGGCCGATCCTCCCCGCCATCAATTTCCCCGCTCCCAGGATCATCATCTTCTTCATCATCGTCGTCCTCCTCTTCCTCATCATCATCATCGGACTCGGGCCTCTCGTTTCCCTCCGCATCTGTCTTATCCAAGTACTTCAACGACTTAATCAAACCGAAAACTCGGGATCGATAGTCCTTAACCCGTGTCACAGGGCACTCATAGAGATCCAACGAAACCAACCTCAGCTCCGCTAGGGGTCTCAAGTCATTAATATCCGAAATCCGATTGTTTGACAAATCAAGGTCCCGCAGCGATTCAAGCCCTGCCTCAACAAGGAATTTGAGGCCACCCGCTATCCGATTGTCGGATAGGATCAGCCTTAGAAGGTTTCGGAGCCGAGGGAACTGTTCGAGCGACGACACGCCGATGTTCGCTATTGATAGGTGCTGGAGGCTCTGAAACTTCTCGAAAAGTGCCGGCGGAGGTAATCGGCCGTGAACGCACTTCACAGCGCCGTCAAGGGTTAACGTTCGAACCGCAGCAACGTCGGTTTGGCCATCCAATGCTGTTTCCACCGCTCTCTCCCAGATCTCATCCATTAATTAACCTAACCTTTCCCTACACCAGTATCTATATAAACATACAATTCTATACCAAACTTCAAATAGAGACGATGAATTTTCCGATAGAATTTGCAGGAAAAAATGGCGCAAAACCCTAAATTGGCTTTTCTCTCTATCTCTCTCTGTGTGAGAGCGCACTGATAATAGATAATGGAGAGGACAGGAGAGGCGAGTCGAGTCCGAGTTAGGGTTGACCTGGGTTGGGTTAGATGATGAGATAAAACGCCTCTTGTGTTTCTTGTTGGATCAAACTAAGGCCATTAGATTAGAGAGGTGCGGATTGATGACGTGGACGAAAGTGGACGGTTGGTATTGGTGGATAGTGTGTTTTTTTTGTAGGAAGGTGTGTGTGATTGAGAATCACGTGGGAAGCGTAAATATCGTTGCAGTTAATAGAGGCCCCTAATATTCTGGACTATTACGATAATACCACCAACCACAGCACAACTATTTTAAGGGTTGAATCGCGAGGTATGTCCTCACTTTGAGAGCTCCCACGATCCCGTCTCTAAAGTTTTGTGAGGGAGGTAAATCGTGGGATATATCACATCAAGCCAAGGAATAAGAGTTACCTATACACCGTGCTTACAAAAAGTTCAATTCCCTGTCTTATTAATTATTTATATCTATTATGTATTTATATCTTATTAGTTATTTCCGTTTCTTTGAGTTTGTGATAATATTTTCAAGTGAAAAATAAATTCTTAAAATATATGGCTAAAAAAATATTAAAAACTTATAAGTCTCATAAATACGTGATTAAAAATTATTTTGGACCCAAATGATTTTTGTGATAGTCTATATCCAAGTCAAGATTGCAATGTTACCATCGAGCTAATTATCTATATATTTTATCGGTCTTTTATATTTAGTGGTATCATAATGTAATATAACACATAACAAAATTCTTTAAAACCTACTTAGGAATTTCAAGGTATCATGTATAGGCATTTTTTAAAGTATTGGTTTTGGAAATTTATTGGGATATATTTTTGACTTTTGGGTAATTTTAAGTAGCAATTTATAAAATAGTCAAACCCATGCTTAATCATTAATTAATCAGTGGTTGTAAAAGTTTTTTATAAGAATAAAAATACATATATGCTCCCTTAGTGAAATTTTCAATTTCTAATTGCTTTTAATTTTATTTATTCATAAGTGATTTCTTCACATAGAAATAAATTTTTAACTCAAAAAATGAAATATTTATTTAAAATAAATTTTTTACTTATAAGTATATTTTTAGAGTGATGAGTTATTCTTGTACTTTTAAACAAGTTTTATATATAAGTGAATTGTTTGCTTATAAGTAATTTTTTATATTTTATAAATGAATTTTTATCTTATTACCAGTATTTTTACTTTATGAGCAATTTTTTTTATACAAAAGTTATTTTTAACTGGTAAGTTATTTTACTTTTTCGTAATTCTTTTAGTTACAAAATAATGTTTTTGCTTATAAATATTTTTTTAGTTAATTATTTTATTTACAAGTTATTTGTGAATTAACTTGTGAATAAAATATGTGGATTGTAAATAATTATTTTGTAAGGGGTAAAATTGAAAGAAAATTTAAGATATTGACAAAATTTAACGATTTGGTGGGTTGAGAAAACCAATTTTGGGCGGTTTTTTAACACCCAAAACTAGTGACCCCCCCCCTCCCCGCAAAAAAAAAAAAAATTCCATTTTCCAAACTTCTCATAAATGATGTCATCGAAAAAGGTCACAATCAATAAAAAATAAACTCTAATTCGAACAGTAACTTTTAGCTGGAAATGTAATGGATGGGCAATATTCTCAATATTTATATGTGGCCTCCATTCGGCAAATTTTATAAATTATTTATAAATAGTTAAATTTTATTTTCAATTAAACATCTCAATTGATTCACAATTACTAGCTGCAGAAAAAATATGATTTTAATTGTGTATCGACAATAACGTAATAATTTTGGAAAACTTATAAACATGTGCATGTTTTAGGAATTACCATTATGGCTCGCTTTACAAAAAAAAAAATGCCTTTAGCCTTTTGATCTTCTTAATTCCACCTTTAAGTCCTCTTGTTGTTTGATATTTATGATTCAACTTCGAACATTTTGTCATTCTCTGATTTTTTTTTTTCAAGAACTCGCAAAGAAATTATGTGTGTGCAAGAATTGATTAATTATATGTTAATTAAACAATAATGCAAGTGTCGTATTTGTTATATGGAATTGACTTTGATAAGGAAAAATCCCATCCCAGTAGAACTCTTTCTTTTTGCATGGATAAGTGTAAAATTTTAAACTGACTCTTCTTTTTAATTCTAATCCAGATCAAAGTCTTTCGTATTAATGGCAGATGCAAGACACATGCCAGATTAATTAATTAATCTATTCATAACACTTATAATTATTATAGTTCTTATTTTTAAGCCGCCAAAAGGACCATACAAACCCAATCAAGCTCTAATAGATTAATTTTGACCACATCTGAAAGTCCAGGAATGACTAATCAAGAGAGAGAGTGAATTGATTTTTAAAACTATTTTGAAAATTAATTATAAATATAAACCAATATAATAGCAAATATGTCAATTAAACAAATAGGCACAAATAAGAAAACAAGTAAAGACTAAAAGGGAAAGAGAATGCTAACGATATAATTGTCAAGGTTCGATCCAAAATAATGATCTATGTCCTCCATTACCAAGCTATTCGACACGAGCAAGACATTTTCACTATATTGATTGACTTATGGTACATTCCAACTCTTTACAATGCTTCTGGTGACTTACAAACAATGAGCACGGATCCTTTACAAAGTTGAGATTTACGAGACCTCAACACGACTCACACTATTAAGTTTTATGGGACTTCAATATGACACACGCGATGACTTACAAAATGGAGCACCGATCCTTACATAATGTTGAGTTTTCTAAGACCTCAACACGATCCATACTTTATTAAAGTGATTTTACAATCAAATCGTCCCTTGATAAATAATACAAATTAATTAAGTACTAAGAAAGGCTAACATTTCAATGAATAATAACAAATGATAGCTCAAATTTTAGATAAATTTTTTGATGAAAATGACAATTAAAAATTAGATTCAACTACTCAAAGTGTTTCACTGAGAAGATGAAGAAGAATTAAATGTATTATAAATTCAAACAATCTTCTCGAGAGAATATCTCTCTTTTAATGAATAATTATAATAAATCAAGTACTAAAAGAGAAGTGAGAAACTTTAATGAATATGATGTTTCTACAAGTTTGATTCAATCAATTAAAAAAAATCAAAGTTTTAATATGAAGAAATCAAAAGATTTATGCAATGTAAGTACAAATATCTTCTTTAATAATATATCTCTCTTTAAAAATTGATATAAATTAGTTAAGCACAAAGAGATATGAAAAACTTAGATGAAATAAATGATTTATGAAATTTAATTCAACAATCAAAATTTTTGTTATGAAGAAATAAATGAAATAAAAATAAAAATTAAGCTCAAAGAAGATTTTTTACAAATATATCTCACAAGGAAACTATCTTCATAGTTTTTTGTGAAAAATAGAAGTAAAGTGGTACTTATAGAAATCAAAACAAAAAAGTTTATGTCCATCCAGACGACCAAACTAGTCATTGTGCAATGATAAAAAAATTGCAAACTGAACATCCGCCTAATCAATCGGACGTTCGGTTGATCATTGACTTTGACCTTTGACCTTTTTCTTTTAAGAATTGTGATCCAAATTCAAGTATAGCTTTGAAAAAATCAATCTCACTTTTGATTAAAATATGTTATGTACAAAATGATTTTTGAGTCATTGTTATTCATTACTAAAGATCAAAGTGTTATACCTTTATATATGATCTAGAAAGTATAGTTTTTTTATATTGCTTCGAAGTTTCTTCCATGTTTGGCTCTTGAACTTTTGATCGTTATCTTTCTTGGCATTGGTCTTCAATGCTTAACTTCGATCTTGGCTTTTCTTGGAGTTTATCTTTAAGCTCTCGTCTCAAATGATTTGACTTGAATGCATAAGCACCTTCATTTCAAGTTTTATTGTAAGATCCATCGCGCTTTCAACGCAGAAATGACGTGGGATAATGGTCAATTTCTAATTATGGATAATCGAATTTCTTTTCTCCTAATCTTAGGAAGACCACTTATTTCACAAAGTAATGAATTTTTACGTGGTTCTTGGATAGCTAGGCCATTTCAAGAATCATATCAAATTCGTTTATGTCTATTACATACAACTCCATTTTTGACAATCTACGATCAATTTCTACTATTGCCGTTTAACTATTTGATCAGTATTCAACGTATTTCCTAAGGGGATGGAACATACAAGGAAAAACGTATACATTCAACCATTAAGCCCAATTTATATACGAACTTAAAGGATATAAAAGAGTGAGTTGTACCAGAATCTATTAATACATAGGCTAGTCAGATATGAGGACATTACCTACAAAAACATTTTTAATTTGATCATCTTCCTGCTCTGTCAGTACAAAGATCCTTACTTGCCTCCTAGGTGGATATCATGTTTATGCCATGTAACATGTTTATTTTACACATTTTCATGTTTCTATCGACTGTTCCCAAGTTGTTAGTTCTTAGGACAAAATATGGCAATCTATCCTCATTCTCCACACCGAAACATACATTCTTCCTTAGAAGAAAATATTCTAGAGAGTGCTTCTAGAACTTGCCACAAAGTGAAAAGCTCATATTGCTATCTTGAGACGGATCTCATTTACCCTTCTTTGATCCTTTGCTCTTACTATACATCCTTTTTTTTTCTCCGACTACCCATACTGTTGCTTATTCTCTCCAATTGCACACCCTTTGACATCTACTATGCTTTTGCTAAAGCCTCATGGTAAGTTTCCATTTTAATCACTACCATAGCTTGTCTCAAATCATTCCTTAAACCCTGTTTGAAATGTCTCGACTTCATCTCCTTTGTGTCCAAAAAGTTTTGTGAACACAAATAAAAAATAAAAAATAAAAATCTCAAACAATATATAGAAACACAAATATCTGAAATTATAATTCTTCTCAAATGGATATTTCTTAATTAGCACACCCATCATAAAGGTTTTCTCGAAATAATAATAATAATAATAATAATATAATAATAATTTTTATGTTACTTCCATATAAATCTTTTGTACTTAACATGCATCCAT